ACCTCCGTCTTGTCTGCTTGCCCATTTTCCACAGGGACGTTTAAAGGCTTCTTGGACATTGCTCCTGTAACTTCAGTTTTAAAAAAGGAATGGGGGAAAAAAGAAAAACACAAAAATCTTAATACAAGACTGTGATCTAGACCAGTGTTTTTCAAATTCAGCAACTTTAACATGTGTGGACTTCCACTCCCAGAATTCCCCAGTCAGCAATGGAGAATTCTGGGAGTTGAAGTCCACACATCTTAAAGTTGCCAAGTTTGAAAAACACTGATCTAGACTACGCAATTTTACCCCTCCCATTTTTTAAAAAAAATTGCTTTTCAAATGCTTTCTGCAGCTTCTCATCTAACCTAAGCCGTGGTGTTTCCTGATAGTTTCCCATCCAAGTACTAACTATGGTTAATCTGCTAAGCTTCTGAGGTCACCAAAATCATACAGGTGCTCCCTCTGGTTGATCTAAGTGATTTGCGGCTATTTCCAAAATAGCAATCACTACATGAGCATTATCAGAAATCTGTCTGTTTCAACTGAGTTGGACAAACTATAGATACCACTAAATTTGGTAACCAGAGTCGCAGGTAATATCTTAGCATTCACATTAAGCAACAATATTGGTCTATAACTCTGGTTTTGGTCTTGTAATACAAGCCTCATAGAATGAAAAAGGAATGTTAGCAAGATTAAATGACTCAATGAAGACCTCTGATAGCAGAAGTGCCAATAAATCTATAAGAGTTCTACCCCAATCAAAGGGAAATCTATTTTGTTCATGGCTTTCCCTGGTTTTATCGTTCTGTTAATTTCTTGTTACAGCAATGGTTGTGTCAAACTGATTTTATGTACTTGAGAACTTTCTTCCCCCAAATTTACAATTTATTGTTCAGTTGCAGTACAATCTGATTTATATAATTGAGAATAAAACTTAAAAAAAAATCTGGTTACTAATAGACACTATACCCCTATATAATGACTGTCTTTGGCCTGAATTCCAGAAATAAGGTTCATTTGTTTTTATTGCTTCAGCCAGTAGGCTAGGAGCTTTCCATTTTTCTTACCAGGTTCACAATATTTTTCTTTGGTGCATTGAAAAAAAAGCACTTATTCATAATATAATCGCCCCAACTTTACCTTAGCTGACACAAATGCTTTATAAAATTCATCAACAAAATTCAAGCAACAGATATTTAACCACCTTGTCCAAATGTATAAAACTAAAATTTATAGTTTCTTCTTAGCTGTAGCAAACATGATCACATATGCCTTACAAGAGTCCCAAACAGTTTAATGGGGTTTCTATTACTTAAAAAAGGATTTCTTCTTAATATAGTCCACAGAATTATCTCTCTTTGTAATGAAGTATTCAAACACCATCTAAAATTGGTGAGGTTGGTTTTAAACTTCCAGACAGAGTCACCAGAACATGTCTTTATTCTCTCTCTTTTTCAGCCTAACACCAAATATCTATCAAGTTCTAGAATATATGCTTTGAATGCATTCCAACGTTGTAAATAAGATTGTTTTTAAAAGGGGCGTTTCTATTCAACTGGACGTCCTTAACAACATTAAACTCTCCTGAAATCATCAGTCATAATTCAAATTAAAAAGCTTAGAGAAAGCCTATGAAATATTTCAGGACTCTTCTTTGTGGAACCACAGAAATTAATCAGGATGATATTAGAATTAGCTACATTAATAATCAAAATTATAAAATGCCCTTCATGATCAAAACATGTCATAATCTATGGATTGCAAGGATAAATGATTGTTTTCTTGTTCATTTTCACTATAGCTACTCATGATCAAAAAGCACTCATATTCCACATTAATTTTAGTAAGCCTATTAAACAAAATGATACCTCTAACCATTTTAGAGTTCCTATTAATATACACTTTGTAGTTCCCCAAAAAAGCTTTTCATCTGGTAAAACATGTGTTTCTTGGAGCAAAATTAAAACAGATTACAGTTTCTTTAATTTAGTATCAATCCCCGCTTTCCCCCCTCATTCTAAAGAACCTTAATGTTCCAGTAAATTATTTTCAGACATGCAACTGAGTAGTCATAACTTTTACTCAAGGTCAACTCTCAGATAATACAGGCCTTATATACTATGTCCAGTAAATTAGCTAATCCAGAAAGGGTGGACGTGGATCCAAATAAAAAATACAACAAAAACTCTAATGCAGTGTTTCTCAACCTTGGCAATTTGAAGATGAGTGGACTTCAACTCCCAGAATTCCCCAGCCAGCATACTGGCTGGGGAATTCTGGGAGTTGAA